GGACCCCGGTCCCTGCCCGCCCGCCGCCGGGATGTCCGGCGTCACCCCCCTCCTCGCCATCCCATCCCTGCTGTCAGCTCTAAAGCAAAATAAATCTGCCTCCAACCCCCTTCTCTGCTTCCTCCCCACCGACTCCGTCTGCTTTAATTACCCGGGATGGTGTTGTCCAGGACGAAGGCGATGGTCCCCCCGACGAACATCTCTGTCGTTAGTAGCACCGTCAGGATCTGGTCCAGCTCGGGGACACCTGTGAGAACGCGAGGACTGAGCAGGGGCGTGCTGTGATAAGCCGGATTTGCTTAATTAATCATTGCTTACCCAGGGCGGGCAAGCGCCTGCGAGATCCGCCCACCCTTCTCCCTAAACACCCAAAATTGGGGCTTTTCGTGGCTGGGCGGGGTACCTGTGTTAATGGCCTTGGGATGGGAATCCAGGTAGTTTGGCAGCGTCAGCCCAAAAAACATGGCGAAGCCCAGCACGAAGAGGTTGCGGGAGGAGTTCATGTCGACGAACTGCAGGTTGGAGAGGCCAACGGCCGTGATCATGCCTGCCGGCAGAGAGGGCGGCAGGGTTGCGGGCAGGCGGGGATGCTGGCGCTGCCTGCTGGGACCCCGGCGTTGGGGTGGGCTCCCCGCAAAAGCAGCAAAAGGGCGTTCCAACCCAGCCCCAGACCCTCACCGCCTGCCCTGCAGTCCCCGGGCCCCCCCGAATCCCCAGGGCCGATGGTAACAGTGCCCCGCGTTTGACGTGCTGAAGTTACCGAATAAGGTGCAGAACATCCCACCGAGGATGGGGTCAGGCAGGGAGGCGAAGAGCGCCGTGAACTTGCCAATGGTCCCCAACACGAGCATGATGCTGGCCCCATACTGTATCACCCTCCTGCTCCCCACCTGCACGGAGACACTGGCAGTGGGTGACGGTACCCGTGTGTGTCCCCCGAGCGAGTCGGGACCCCTGCCCGGCCACGCTACCTTCGTGATGCCCAGGACGCCAATGTTGGGGCTGGAGGAGGAGGAGCCGTGGCC